GGAAGCAGCCGGAAGAACTCTCAAATAGTGGAGGACAAACGGAAGAGCATCAGGCACGTGGCCTGTCTCCGGCCTGCCTGGGTCCGTGCCGGAAGGTTTCAGGTCGAAAGAACTGGCACCTACCTCCCAGGCGTCCACGAACGTTGCCTTGCAACAGAGCAGGTTGCCTGCTTCGTCTTTAGGGAGGATCTCCTTCCCAGGCTGGAAACGCAAAGCCCAAAGTTGAAGTCCCAGTCCGTGCCAGGCCCCGGAGTTCCCATCCCTGAGGCCCCAGGACCCCGAACTACCTACCCATCAGCCACCCAGCCACACCTGCATGCCTGCTGGGCAGGAGCCAGGCTACCAGCGACTGGGCCTGAGATGAAATGCCACCGGCTGGCATTACATCTCAAGCCTCCTATCTGGCAAAGTGCTGTTTGATTTTTAAATTCCATCCTGGGCAGATTCGGTGACACCATGGTCACCTCCTCTACGTGGGCCGCACACACACTCAGGAACACACTTTAGTTTTCAGACCCGCAAAGGAGGGTCCAATCTCAAGGAGGGGATTCCTGCAGTTGGTACTGGCACACACTTCACCTCTGGCAGGCTCGGGAGGGTGGTCCCCAGGCACCTTGTTTGCAGGGCATGAGATGAGTGAGTTGGCACCACGTTGCCTCTCACCTTTCCGAAGCACAAGGGGAGCCCAAAAAAGATGCGCTGGGTCTTGAGTAAGGACCTGCCACCCTCCGGCGTAAACAGACTTGGGCTGTTCTACAAGACACCGCACCTAGGGTGCCTCTACCACAGCAGAGTTGAGTCCTGAAAGGCTGTGTGGCAAGAACCCCCCAGTGTTCTCCCAGAAGAGGGAGCCTGGCCTTGGACTTGGGACCAAGACAGCATGGCAACGTGGCTTCCAGAAACCACAAGCCCTCAGACAGAGCTGAGAACAGACCCAGCACATGGGCAGCTCTGTGCCCACCTGACACCCCAGCTCTCTGTTCCACCACGGGCTCCCGGGTATATGCAGGGAGAGAGCTCCCACCTTCACACGCAGCCCCACAGCTCTGGGGAGATGGGGCGGGAGTGGTACCGACCTTCAGGCCCTGAGGCCAGTGTATTAGGTAGATGTCCAGGTAGTCCAGTTTCAGATCATTAAGGGTCTTCCGGCAGGCTTCCTTCACCAGGGGCCTCTCGAAGAAGGTGGACCACAGCTGCAGAGAGGGACAACCCGGGATCAGTGCTGGGAGGGCAGGCTCCGTCACCCGCACGGCCCTGCTCCTGGCTCTACCCCGGGTTCCGGCTCTTTAGAACAAAAGTGCTCCATACCTGCGGGAGCTCCCACATGTGTCCCCCACCTTGGTGACAGGGCTCTGAGAGCACAAATTGTGTCTAACTTGGGCTCCAAGTTCTCTCCTGTCCCACGACAGGATGACCTCTGTCTGCAGCCCACACATCTCCAGCCTGCCAGGACCCTGTCGTGGCTTCTCACAGGGCAGACCCCGACTCAGTGCAGTGCAGCGCTGCACACAATCCACACCCAGCCAGTCCCGGAAGCTCCTGTTTTAGGAGCTCTGCCTAACATCAGTTCCGTGATCCTCAACCTGACTGACCAACGGCTTCCTTCTCATAGCATCTGTCACTCGCCTTTTACTCGGCTGAGAAAGCACACATTCACCTGTGGCTATTATAAAAAAAAAATTTTTTTAAAGCCCCCACTGGAGACCATTAGGGCTGAGTCTTAGAGACCAAGATCTGCAAAGGCGGCTTTGGACCCGTCCCTGGGGTACTTGCAGCCATGCATGGACACTGGGCAGATGAGCCCCATGGTGGGCAGGGAGCCACGGACATCACGGTGGCTCAGGGGACCCGCCCCACAGTGGGAAACCCAACGCAGGAGGAGTACAGCAGCAACGTCTCCTCAGTCCAGTCCTGCCAGGGAATGTGGCCATGTGGGTCCGAGGTATTTCATACAATGGGCTTGCACGGAGGGCTGGTGTTGACCAAACCCAACGCCTCTGGCGGCTCTGAAGTTCATCCTCCTGCCACCCCAGGGCCCTGGGTACCTTGCTGACGATGAACAGGTCCTCGCGCTTCACCACCTTCTCCTTGAGCTTCTCCTGGATGGCCGCGCCCACCTCGCTCTCGTTCCCGTACACAGGGGCGCAGTCAAAGTGGCGGTACCCCGCTTCAATGGCTGCCTTCACGGCCTCCTCGACTTGGCCTGGGGCAGACTAAGGAGAAACTAGAGGCAGTCTTGCCCTCCCATCCAAAGGCCACCTCTCCAGGACTCCCCTCCACAGCCTCCTCTCCACACCAGGGCCTCAATGGAGGCTCCATTTCCAGGGGACACCAGGGCAAAGAACACACTTTGGAGAGTATTTTCAAGAGAAGGAGCCAAGTGGCTTGGCTTAGTCATCCAGCCTCGTATTTCCTGCTCACCAAGACTTGGCTCCCCCCTAATCCCAATCCAGGTTAACCACTCTGTCTTGACAGGGTCCCAGATGTGTGGGTGACCCATAGCTCCCCGCACCCCCCTCAGTAAGGACTGGATGACCTTAGGACACCTCTTTGTAAACATCGCTGCTCCTGTGTAAGATGGATGACCCACAAGCCTCCTTCATACAGATGGGGAGTGGGGCTCATATGACCCTAAGCCACCCCTTTGTAAAGACAAAGCAGAAACTGCTCATTGTAATCAGTCAGGACAGACTCCAGTGATAAGGCTTGATAAGAATGTCAGTCCAGAGTCCTTCCAGATAAATCTAGGGATTAAGCACAGCAGGCGGAGCAGCGGCAACTCAGGACAAGAAGTGGACTTGGCAGCACCAGCATTGGAAGCAGCCCAACCCTGCCACCCCCACCCCCACCTCCACACACAAATGCCCAGGGGAATCTCTAACAGATAGCATTGCCCCAAATCCTGGAAGGGTTCTGTCTGTACAGCACCCTCACATCTAATTCCGCAGGCAGTGACCCTGTGCTGGGCCCTGCAGACAGACCGGCAACCATTTGTCCTGTTTGTGGAGGCTGCAGCTCCGATAGGGAGGAAACAGCCCAGTCCCAGCAAGAAGCCCCCCCCCCTCGTGGAATCAGCTGGAGGCCGTCCACTCCTCTGGGGGAACTCAGGGTACTTCCTGAGAACCTCCCAGGGCTGGGACCACAGGGGGGAGTCCGTCTGCCCCAGAGAGGGGCTGGGCAGAACAGAGACCCGGACGGAGACTCCTCCTGGTCCTAAGGGTCTGTGCCAAGACACGGACTGCCGGCGGAAATGAAAATGTAGAAAAGGTCATCCAGTCAAATCCACCCCGAGGCTGCCCAGGGGAAGGGGCTGGAAGGAATGCGGAGCCCTAGGGTGGAGCCCCAGGAACCTGACTCCCAGGAAGGCAGCCCTTCCGGAGGGACGCAAGGAGCCTTTTGGGAGACCAGTGGAAGGGCAGATTCTGAGGCAGAAGTCCCGCGCTGCCTGCGAGCCTGAATTTCTAGCGACTTCCAGGACCACACTGCCCACAGCCAGGCAGCAGACTCATGAGGGGCTACGACACTGTGGGGCCCCTTTCAAAGTCCGAGAGGCAGGGAGCAGCCCGCGAAGGAATGGCTTCTGGCAGCGGCCCTGATAAACAGCTGTTTCTCAGCCCAACAGCTGAGCCTGAATCGGGCTTGGAGCCTGACTGCTCCAGAGAGAAGTGCTGGTACTGGCTCAGGGCTGGGACTCTCCCTTCCCCAAACTTCCTCCTTTCTCCATCCCACAGCAGGGCTTCGGGGAAGCAGCAGAGAGGGCAAAAAGGACAAGAGCCCAGGAGGGAGGCAGGTGTCCACATGCGTGCACATGTACCTTCCAGGTGCCCAGGCCCACGATGGGCATCTTGGCCTTGGTGAGGAGCTCCACGAAGGTGGCCATGGTCAGTGCAGGGTGGCAGAGGGTGCTCTGTGACCTGCTTAAGAAGAGCTGGCCAAGTCACAGAGGGAGGAGCCAGCTCTGGGGGCAGGGCTAGCTGGCTGTTTCCAGTCCTGATAGAGTAGCAAGTCCCTTCTTGCCTTGTCCTTAAGACAGGTCGGCCAGAGAAAAGCCCTCCAGGGTGAGGAGGGTATATGCACTAAGTATAGCCCCTGGGGGTGCTCAGATTTCTGAAATGCCTCTCCCTGTATTAAAAAAAATAAGAAGAAAGGTTAAAATTATAAAGATGCTATCTACTCATTACAGAAGGTTCTGTGGGCAGTGTCCAGAGGGGAGACAAGTTCCATTCTTAACTCTGTCTTTATGTCAGATTAGGGAGGCAGGGTTCCAACCCGCGTAGGTGAGTCGGGTGAGTCAGCAGTGGAGTGCTCGGTCACACCTCTGCCACAGAGCCAGTCCCAACGCAAAGCAACCCTACAGGGCTGAGAAGAGATAGCCCTTTGTGTTCTAAATCTTACACAACGTAACCCCACAGAACAGAGGAGAACGCGAGGTTTCCCAATCTGTACATCTTGAACAGAGACCCTCATCTTCCTCCTGTGGAGCAATGATGGGTTGGAAATACCAGCCTGGTTGCTTTGGTGCAACCTGATAATGTTGTAATGCAGGTGGGAAAGTAGTGCCGGATTGTTATTAAGGACCACTGTACGATTATATCTACATTTTTAAAAATATAATGGGCTGTACAGGGTAGGTTCCTAACTGCAACTTAGAGAGTCATCACCTGGGGACGACCAGTAAATAAGGAAATAGAAATCACCTCTATTCCCTGCACTCAGGATCCTTCTTTGTCCTCCGCCGTTTACCTGTGCATATGGACTTGGAATTCACAGCATGTACCATTATGCCTTAACCAGAGAGAAGACCGGCATTGTCAAGTACTGGAGTTGTCAAGACTGAGTTGTGCCTTGACTCCGGCCTTGGTCTTTCCAATGGCCTCCCACGCAGGTGAGAGGCGGATATTGACTAAGGACGGCAAGGAGAAGTGGCGCGTTTGCACGATGGTGTTGGAGAAGAAGCTTCAAAGTATCGTATGAACTGCTAAAGCAATGGTTCTCAACCTTCCTAATGCCACGACCCTTTCGTACAGTTCCTCGTGTTGTGCTGACCCCCCCAACCATAAAATTATTATATTCATCACTGTGATTTTGCCGCTGTGATGAATCGGGTGACCCCTGTGAAAGGGTCATTCGACCCCCCAAAGGGGTCGCGACCCTCAGGTTGAGAACCGCTGTGCTAAAAGAACAACCAGCTCTATCTTGGGTGAAGTACAGCCAGACTGCTACTTGGAAGCAAGGATGGTGAGACTTCCTCTTACTTGCTTTGGACATGTGATCAGGAGCTGTCAGTCCCTGGAAAGGGACATCACGCTTGATAAAGTAGAGGGGTGGTGAAAAAGAAGAAGTCCCCGGATAAGATGGAAGGACACGGTGGCTGCCACAATGGGCTCACACATAACAACAATCGTGAGGACGGTGCAGGACCGGGTGGTCACTCAGAGTAGGAGCTCAGTCAACAGCACCTAAGCACAGCAGCCACCGTTACACGTGATGGTTTTTAGACTTAGCGCCGCAAAGTGAACTTCTGCATACCATTATAAAAGCTCTTTCTCAGAATGATTTTTACACCATGCCTCCTTTTGGATGATTCTAAAGTAGTCTGCCTCATGCCCATATTATCGTTGATTCTGTTGTTTCTCCAGCAGGTTGTCTCCAGTGTATTGCTCTTCTAAGTAAATACCATTTCAAGGAATATCATTGTGAGTAAGGCATTGGACACACTTTGGCTGATTTTCTTAGGCTCATCACTATGTGTTGGACAGGCAGAAAGCATTCCTAGTATAGTCCTTATATACGGATAACTAAATCCACCCCTGTGGGGAACAGAAGGATTTCTCTCAAGCTGTCTCCCCCAAAAATATATGTACCAGACTTAGCTGCTTGAGTATGACTGTACACTAGGCAGTCAGCGAAAGTAGGTCAGAGGTTATTCTCCTTAACATCAGCCACCTAGAGCAACCAGACTGTATAGTCTGACTTACCCTAAGTAGGGCCCAGTTCCTTCTGCTATCGTTCCCTTGAAGCAGTGCCCAAAGGCAAGCCCGGGACCACTCTAGGATGATTAAGCTTATCGAGTCCAGGGTCCACCCATCTTGCCACACATGCTCCCCTATTCCCTCCTCTTACTATTGCACGCTCACCCCTAGGTCATCCTCCTCCTATTGCTTGTATTGCCTATGTTACAACCCCTCCCTATGACATAGGTTGTTATCTGCTATCAGGGGGATTGCATGCCTCCCAGGATAGTAATTGTCTGTTTTATTGTATGAGACACCAGAATGGTCAAACCTGTTCAAGGATGAATTGTACTGCCTCTCTCTGTGACGCATGATGCTGTGATGATCCCCTAAAGTGATATGATGCATAGTTAGCAATAAATAAGGAGGCTCCCTGGTTCCCGTGAGGGAGGAGGATGAGGGTGGCTGCTCCCGCGAGGGAGGCGGCTCCTGCTCTGGTGACCGGGTTCCCCCCACGAGGACCACCAAGCAGGGTGGAGGTGAACAATGCTACCATGTAATGTGTCTGACTCCACTTATTCCAATCTCTCCTCTAACTCTCATGCTCTCTATGACTTTAATATAACGCTTATATATCTCAACCGTACAATTGTGCTTACTGAACCCGTGGGTAGTATTAGTAGCAGCGGGTGGGGGCTGCCCCCCCCCATTGCCATTTTTATTTAATACTACAAATGGTGCCTAACACGTGGCAATGAGTTATATATCCCGTGTAACAATTGTACGGCCTCACCAGAATGTAGAGTGAATAGGGAAATTGTGTGAAGTGAGGATCCGGTGTGGGAACTGGCGTGTGGGAACTGGCGGATAAGTAGTGGAAGTAGTGAATGAGTATTTTAAAGACAACAATGGGGCAAGGTAAAAGTAAATGTGAAACTTATGGTACTACGCTCATCTACTTACTGAAAAGACCGGGTCTAAAAGTAACAAAGAAAATGATGCAATGTTTTCTAAAAGTAGTAAAATGGTATAATCCATGGTTCCCGGAGGAAGGAACTTTCAATCTAGAGACCTGGGAGGAGGTCATTGTTAACTTAAAGAAAGCACACAGAGATGAGGAGAGTATCCCCTTGGAGACGTGGTCTCTGTGGGTTCAAGTTAAATTGGTCTTAGTACATTTTCAGGAAGAAAGGAGTGAGGATTATCAGTCTAGTGAGAAGTCTTGTGTGAGCTATTCAAATTTAGAAAAGGAAGCTAGTGTGTATGTGACTGAGCATGATTTAGGTGATGAAACTTTAGGAAAAATTGAAGCAGGGATTGATTTGTTATGCAAGGCCTCTGTTGCTAAAATAAACCTTGTGGCCAAAGCCCATATGCCCTCGGGTGACTGCAGCCTCGGAAGGTTTAAAGGTGATAAAATACAAGAGGCAGCGAATTCCAAGAACCAAAGCGAGGCTATTAAGCAACCCCAGGAAGCTCCCTTGCTTTCAAAGGTAGGGAGAAACAGAACCAGCAAAGTAGTGAGGCTCGGAAAGTGAGAGGCAAAGAGTTAGGGAACAGAAAAGCACCTTTGCTTTCACGGGTGGAGAAGAGTATAGCTCAAGAAGCAGATTTAGAATTCAGAATAGCTTATCCGGTTAGAATTATAGACAGGGAGCTTGACAAGCAGCACCCAGAAGGGAATCAAAGGCATTATACTGCCTTTCCCTTTAAGTTGCTAAAAGATCTCAAGTAGACAGTCAATGATTATGGCCCAGACTCACATTTTGTAATTAGCATGATAAAGGCTCCGAGAGCTGGACCCCTATTGACTGGAGAGCTTTAGCGAAAATATGTCTTTACTCTTCAGAATATTTGCAATATCTTATGCTGTGGAAGGAAACAGAATGCTGAGGATAAGATAGATATAGGAATTCATCAATTGCTAGGGGATGAGAATTATATTACAGTTGAGTCCCAACTACAGTTTACTGAACAGACTATAGGACAGATATGTGAAGTTTCCTTAAGTGCCTGGGAAAAGATAATTCCATCAGAAGAGAGAAAGCCGAGTTACACTATAAGACAGCGGAATGATGAGCCTTATGCTGACTTTGTGTCCCAACTGGAAGATGCCATTTCCAAGTGTGTAAAAATGTCTAGGCAGTAAGAGACTTAGTGCATAAGCTATCTTATGATTTCGCTAATAAGCACTGTAAAAATGCCTTGAGGCCCTACAGGGAAAAGGGCACCCTGCTAGATTATCTCAGGATATGCAGGAATGTAGAGAGAGAGGAATACAAGGCCGACCTCATGGCAGCCATGTTGGCAAATTATATCAGACCTAGAAGAAAGTGCTTTAGTTGTGGGAAAACAGGTCATCTTCAAAGAGAGTGCAGACAGCACAGGGCGATCAGCCTGGCCGTAAAAAGCAAACTGCAGCCTGAGCCAGAGCATGGGCCAGGGCCACCTAATTCAGGTGTAAAAGACCCTAAACTTTGTCCATGCTGTAGAAAGGGAACTCATTGGGCCAGCCAATGTCACTCAAAATTCAACAGTAATGGGTTGCCATTAGCCAAGGCTTCCCGGCGGGAAAATAGTGGAAGGAGCTTGATCCAAATCCCGCCTAACAGAGCTCAGAAGGCAAGGTCTCTGCCTAACCCAGCTAGAGAATCTTTGAACGGCAGAAACTGCAGATATCACCCAGTCTCACAGCAGGAGACCAGACCTAGACAAACTTGCAGAACCCCAGCCTCTGTTATCGCTGTAGTTGGTTTGACTAACCAAGGAATGGCTCTAAAGCCCTTGCAGCAGCCTGTTGATTCCAAAAAGCAGGAGCCTGTTTTTGAAAGAGTAATACAGCTTCTATCAGGAAGCTTGAACCTAAATAGTCAAGGAATTAAAATTGATACTGGAGTTGATCCGAGTTATGAGGAAAAGCCAAAAGCGGTGATTGAATCAGAAATTAAGAGCGGCAAT